AATTTTTCCACATTATGATTGTTCTGATTATATTTATTAAGATGTAATTTAAATGTAACAATGAGTGCCATTCCAATTTAAGCAAAGTTACAATTAACATTATTTTGTATGTATTTCTTTTTCACGTCATTTTTTCAGTAATTCTTTTTACCATTTAGATCTGGGGGTGGGTGAGGGAGTGCTGGGGATGAACCCAGGACCTCAAGCATTAACCATTTGTAAGTGCCCAATTCAATGGCATGAGCACATCCACATGGTTGGACAACCAGCCCCACCATCCATCTTCAGCTTCCAGAGATGAAACTCCATCCCCATTAAACATGAACTTCCTTTGCCCCTCACCCCAGCCTCTGGCAGCTACTTTTATACTTTCTGTCTCTATGAATTTGGCTACTCCAGGTACCTTGCATAAATGCAACCCTACAATATCTGTTCCTTTGTGACTGCCTTATTTCACTTAGCATAGTATTCTCAAGGTCATGCACAATGTAGCCTGTGTCAGAATTTTTCTCCTTTTTAAGGCTCAGTAATACTCACTGCATGCATATACCACATTTTGTTTATCCATTCATTGGTCAGTGAACACCTGGGTTGCTTCCACTTTGGGGCTGTTGTGAAAAATGTTGCTTTGAGTAATCATCTGTTAAGTTCCTGATTTTAGTTCTTTGGAGTATATATACAAAGTGGAATTGCTAAAGCACATGATAACATCATTTAATTTCTTGGGATGCTGCCGTTCCATTTTCTGCCAGGGCCACACCATTGCACATTCCCACCAGCCATGAACGAGGTTCCTGTGTCCCTGTATTTTCGCCTACACTTGTTATTTCCTTTTTCCTATAACTGCCATCCTAGCTGGTTTGCAGTGGTGTTTCATTGTAGCTTAGAATGGCATTTCTCCTGTGATTTGCAATATGGAGCATCTTTTCATATGCCTATTGGCCATTCCAGTAATTCTTTTTATTATGTTTCATAAATGTAACTATTCACAACAGATTAGCAATGAGACAGGGAAACCAACAAGCCAGGATTTCACAGAGAGCTACAGAGCACAGGCAGCTGAGCACTCTGCTATGTCAGGAATGAGAAGTTTGGGTAATTCAGGGCTCAGGGGGAGAAACATTGGCTTGTGCCATTTATAAGCAGTCAACTACTGCCTTGTAAAGAGTGAGGGAGGCCTGCTATCTTGCCAGCCTCTAGCCCAGGCTGACATCAGGCGTAACAATCATACCCTTTGCAGCTACATTTAAATGTTACAAGTTCAAGTTACCCACATGGCCTGAAATTGCAGCTGCTGACCTTTCAGCAAATGCCAAAGTTCTTCCAGGGTGGGCGCACAGAACAGAGGGGAGACGGAGCAGCTGGTGAAAGCCCAAGGGGTGCGGGGGGGCTGCATTCCCTCACCATGATTTCAGTGCCACTGATCCATGGGTGACCACAGAGCTATTTATGACCTGCTGTGCTTGGTGAAAGATGCTCACCAGTCTAAGTGCATCAGGACATTCAGACCCTCCGGGATCCTCCCAAAGACCAGAAATGTGACTCCAGAGTTTTAACTGGGAGATCATTCTTTGCTGGCAAAACCCTGCCAAGAAGCTCTGGGTGCACCCTCTCGTGTGGTTCCAAACATGCTCCTTCATGAAAGTCAGCATTCCTGCCTAGAACATGGTAGACAACTTTGGGGTATGCCCTATTCATGGCCACATTTATCTTAAGTGACTGTGGTTTCTGGCCACAGCTGATTGGACCAGAGGTGGACACTTGACACATGCTGAGCCAATCAGATTTTTTTCTCCTAGAAACTTAGGTGGGACACAGAGATGTCAGTGAATTGGATGAGGATAATGGAACCAAAAGAAATGTGACCTCGCAGGTAGGAAAGCAAAGGATTCCGGGTTTCTCAAGATCCCCGTGAGATTCTCCAGCAAATTCCCTTTCTAATTTAGCCCTAATGAGTGGGTTTCTGTTACTTACAGTGAAGCTGGCCTTGACTACAACAATAGCTATTACAATTAATATAGCAGAGCATGTTATCACAACCAACATTTGCAAAAGAAGATACTGAGGCTCAGAGAGGTTAAAAAGCATCACCAAGCTCAGCCTTAGTCAGTACAGCCGAGGTGGTGGTACAGTGGCATGGCACAGCCAAGAAAGGTTCGTTCCTCCTTCATCTCACAGTCTGAAATAGACTGCGGCTCAGGCTGCTACCAAGTTGCACCACCATCATTAAAACACACAGCTTCAGAGGTGGCCAGGAAGGAAAGAGAGAGGCTGAGCCATCCTGCACTGCTGGCCAACCTCTCCACCCCCATCTCACTGGCCAAAACCCTGTCACATGGCCCTCATCTAAATGCAAGGGAGGCTGGGAAATGTAGTCTTCTTGGGAGGGGGGGATCCTTCTTTGGCTCACACAGCTGGTAAAGAGAGACCCAAAACTTGAGCCTGCATCACCCTGACCCCAGCATAAAGGATCTCAAGGTCATCCCGTGGCCATGCTGCCTTCTCTGCAGCTTGCCAGGACACCCAACAGGATCCCAGTTCACCCCCATCTCCACCCTCACCACCTCAGAGGGAGTCCCTGCAGCTCGCTGCTTCAGGGAAACCAAAAAGAGCATCTCAATGAAAAGGGGAGGCCACCCTGAGTTTAATCCTTCAAATTCCCAGAGTGGTGTCACAACAGCCCGTGCGCCCAGCACTCATTTGCTGAGAATGGCCACGTGAAGGAAGAGCATTCCCTGGGCTCTGTCGCATGAAGGACCCCAAATTATACCCCCTGGGGAACATGAATAGGAGATGTTTTCTAGGACTACCAAAAAGCAGATGACTCAGCACCAGAAGCCTGAAATGAAGGCAGTGACAAAGCCACCCTCCCTCTGGAGTTAGGGTCCTTCGACACCTCTTCCAGCTTTGGGGGGTATCCTTGGTTGCCTGGGCTCTTGGCACATCATTCCAACCTCTGTCTCAGTCTTCACATTGCCTTCTCCTTTGGGTGTGTCTTGGAAGGACCCCTGTTGGATTGAGGACCCACCCAGGTCCTCTAGTATGAGCTCATCTCAAAATCATTTCTTTGATTACATCTGCAAATACCCTTTTGCCGGAAGAGTTCACATTCACAGGGCAGAGATTTGGGCATGAACGTGTCTTTGTGGGGGACGCCATTCAACCCACCACAGGCATCTTGAAATAATTCCCGACTCTGAAGTTGGGGCCCAGGCCACAGTCACTGTGGCGTTTTGGGAACCAATGGTGCTCAAGTGGAGCTTCTGCCTCTGTCCCCACCTGGGCATAAGCCGTGTCTAACCTGCCCACAGTGGCAAATCCAGGGCATATGTGGCTTCATGTCACACTGGAAGGACATTCTCTTCACTTTTAGCAAAAGACCCAAGCAGCAAGTATGCTCTCGTGGAGAAACCCTCTGGCTGATTTGTATTAAAATACTTAGAATGTAGGCCGCAGGCCAACTGTGACCTTGGAAGACATGAGTTATGGTTATGAAACAAACCTCCAGCAAAAATCAGACCTGAGAGTAGGAAAGGGGAAGAGGGACCAAATCCTGCTAATGGCAATGCTGAGAAAGTCGAGAGACTTAGCAGCCAACTATTTGCATGGTGAGAGGAGGCACTTTCCTTCATGAGGGAACATTATATGTTTGATCAGGAGGAGAAAGGGTCTCCCATTTTAGGAGCAGTGTGACACCATGGAGCCCAGCGTTCTGTGCATCTCTGTGTGACTCTCCTGTGAGTGTGACCCTTCATAGCCTCTGTCAAGGGCAGCAGCCAAGAATCTCTGGGGTCACATCCAACTCTGAGATTCTAAGGGTCATCAGTGGAGAATCACTGTTTCTCCATGTCCATGTCTGTCTTTCTCAGAGCGGATATGGGGAGACGTAGGCATGCCCACAGTAGGATGCAAATAAGCATTCGTTGAAAATATTCCATAACTCAATCGAAAGACACCACACAGAAAATGACAGGGGAAATGGGTCTTGTAGTTATTTTGCTCGGCTTCCTCATGGCACCAGGGTGGGGAAGAATTGTTTCCATACAGCTGTCACTAGCATAGGAAGGGGCCCCCAGACTGCTACATGTCCTCCAAAGCTTTGAGAACCCGGCACCAACTGAGCTCGAGGGTTAAAACTCAAAAGGTGCTTTGTGAGTCCAAGGACTCTCCTGAGCGGGCCAGCCACAGCTGGAGTGGGGGAGATGCTCGGATTTGGGTCCAAGTGGAATGAATCAGGAGTGTTTGAAGGGCAAGAAGCAGGATTTACACAGACACATATTTTAAGTTCACAAGTGAAAAACTACATATTTTATGCACACACACACTTAAATCTAGAGCTCAAGAAAGGCCACCAGTATTACTTGATACCTGATATAAGTGGCCATGATTTTGAACTTCTGGTCCAGAAAGACCCAAGCTTAGCTAAAGGGTGGACTGTTCATAGAGGAAGATTGGTGCAGTACACTCTCACTTGCCCTAACTTGTATTTCCTTAAATCTGGATCTTATGACAAGTGCTTTTCTTTATGGTAACTGGACCCTTGGAATTATTGGACTCTATTAGTTTGATAAAGTATTTATAAAACACTCTTATAGAAAATCACCACTGAATAGCAAGGCACACCTCCCCTGGTGACTCTGGTAGCTATGCCCATGGTGGAGGAAGCCAAGCCTACACAGTTACCCCCATACACAGCTCCTGAAGAGTGCTCTCATTTCTCGTTCTGGTGGGTTGGGACTTCATGGGACAACACATAGGAGAAGCAAGATCCTTAAACCCAGGGTTTAGTGTCCAGAATGTCTGGGTTCACATCCCAGCTCTGCCACTCACTGGCTGAGTGACAGCTCGGTCTCCACTCATTGGAGACCTTGGGCAGATTTCAACTCTTGATTCTCCATCATCCCCTGTAAAGTGGGTCACTCCCGTGTGAAGACTGAATCACCTAAGGTTGTGTACATGTTGCTGTCACCATCGTCCTAACTTGATACAAAACAATGAAGAAAGGAAGGAAGAAAAGTTTATTTCTCCTCCTTCCACTAGGAATCCAGCTCGCCCATGGGGTTAGGTGAAGGTACCCCGTGCTTTCTGTGTGCTGCCTGGGAACGCACAATTGGGCAGGGTGGGGACAGTGCGGAGAGGGAGGCCATTCCTCCAGGTGAGGGCAAGGCGGGCGCCTCACTTGGCAGAGTGCTTCTTATAGATCTCCAGGAACTCGGTCACGTCGTCAGGGGACCCCAGGATGACCGGCGCCCTCTGGTGGATGTCGGTGGGAACGATGTCTAACACAGCTTCCTTCCCCGTGGTGGCCAGTCCCCCTGCCTTCTCCATGACGAAGGCCATCGGGTTGCATTCATAGAGTAGTCTCAGCTGAAAAACAAGAACCCGACACTGGAGTCCTCACACCAGAAGGTACTGAACAGAGAGGGGGCTTGTTGCCCAGCCCAACGGGGCAGAGCTGGTGGGAGGTCCCAAGGTAACCCATGCTCTTCCCCTCCTCCGGGTTGCAAAACTTCCCTCCCACCCCTGGTTGCTACGGAGACAAAATCGCCAACCATGTGGTTAAATGGAACCAAGGGCCAGCAACAGACAACCCGAAGCAACTTTGAGGCCGACCACCTGGAACCAGGACAAAATGACATTTTGGCAGCACTGATGGCCCCCTCCTCTTTATAGCACAGAAACTGGACTTAATGACTGATTCTCTGTGTGTTTGGGATGGAGCTTTGCCGAATCTAAAAGCATTTTTAAAAATCCACTGTAGTGTCTGGCTGCAGACATCTGGAGAGCAGACGGGCTCCTCCAAACAGTGTGACATTGTTTGCAATTCTGTGCTTCCTTTTACGACCCTCCCATGGCTCCAGGGCTGGGGTTTAGTGTGTTACACATCTTGGCATTTACTTTTAAATATGAACTTTTTTTTCTCATATGCATTTTCTTGCAGTCTGCCTTCTGAGCAGAGAGCTCTGTGCAGATGTCTCCTGACTTGATTCCCATACATGTGTCAGCTCCAGACTCAAAAAATGGAAAAAGAGGAGGAGCTTCTATGTTTGTGTTCAAGAGCAATTTTTGAGGCATTAGAGCAAAGTGCTAGAAAGCAGGCTAATCACACAGGCTGGAGTGCACCTGTGGCCCCAGAAGGCTGGGGTTTCAAGTAAAGAAGAATGCCCTCGGGTAACTGGCCGCCCAGTGCCATACACAGAGATGTGAATATAGCAATAGCTAACTATCCTAAGGGGATCTTTCTTGCTATTCATTATTGCACATTAAAAAAAAAAAGAGGGAGCTGGGGCTGGGGCTCAGTGGTAGAGCGTTTGCCTAGTGTGTGTGAGGCACCGGGTTCGATCCTCGGCACCACATATAAATAAATAAAGGTCCATTAACAACTAATTTTAAAAAATGTTTAAAAAAAAAGAGGACATAATACTGGGGAAGGAAGCCCATTGACACTTTGTGTAGAGAAAGGGGTGTTCCTTGGCCAGCATAAGAAAGCCTGGCCCACCCCATGTCTCGTTAGTACCAGTGCAGTCCTGGGAAAAGCTCCATGTTCTCCAGAGAGTCTATTTTCCCCTAAAAGTTCTCGTATTTAAGGCAGCAAATGTCAGGCTCACTGGTTATTTCTATTTTATGCCTTTTGGAATTGATCAAAGACCTCTGATATATATTTGATTTGCTGCCTTGGTAATGACACTGGACCATTTTCATTCACTTTATGAGTGAAACTCATTTTGTCCAAGCCAAACCATGTACCCACCAGAAGCTCCAAGCCCTTTCAGTCCCCTCCTGACCAAAACGCCATCAATTGTTTTTTTGTTGTTGTTGTTTTAATTATTATTTAGTCGAAAATGGACACAATGTCTTTATTTTTATTTGTTTATTTTTATGTGGTGCTGAGGATGGAACCCAGTGCCTCACACTTGCAAGGCAAGCGCTCTACGGCTGAGCTACAGCCCAGCCCCATCAATTCTCTTTTGCTGTAGTCCTGGAAGGGCTCTCAAGAGAATGTTTTTGTGTGTAGTTGGTGTCAACTGGCTTTACCTTGAATCTAGTAAAGAATGTGCCAGAGACGTCTTTAGCAGCAATCAGAGGATATCAATCTGTCTTAATCTTTTTTCTTTCACACAAAGTCGAATACCCCAGGCTAAAAATGAGATCCACTCCTTCTTGATCACTTTTTGGGGAATTTTCTCACCTTTCCATTGGGGCTTTTCTTGTTCGCAGGGTACAAAAAGATCCCTCCATAGACCAGTGTGCGGTGAACATCGGCCACCATGGAGCCCACGTACCGGGCGCCATAGGGCGCTGAATTATCCTACAAAGAGAGAACAGTAACCAGGGGTGCAGAAAATCAAGGCCATTCTCTTTATGTCTCTTATGCATATTTGACTCCAGTCATTTATGGAGCCGCTATGGAGCTGTGCTAAGAAATGCGATGAAAATCCTGTTCCCAAGAAGCAGAAAATGGAATAACAGAAACAGCCTCCCATCCATCTCCCCACAGGTCACATTACAGGAAGAAGCCCCCAAGTGAGTGTGGTTCCTTCTGACCAAGGTGTTGGAGCAAGCATCACAAAAACTGTTCCATTTAGCAGCACCGCGGGGTTGGGAAGGAGCTGGGCAGGGCCACACTGTACTTTTCATAGCAGGAGAATCTGTACAGCTCTCTGCAAAGACCAGCCACCCAGGGCCTGGGGAAGTGTGCAAGCCAGGGCTGGGCACCAGAGGGGATCAAAGAAGGTACAGAGAAAGGGGAAAAAGCCTGGGACTGCTCTGAGGACCCTGAATGTCATCCTGATGACATTAGGGTTTCATCCTGAGAAAATATCAGTTGTCAATGGCTTTCAACCAAGTACCACAAGTTCAATCCCTGGTACCACAAGATGAGCGATGCCCACGTGGAGCCCGCTGCACGGCCTGCCCTTCTCTTATACACCCACTGTAAGCTCTTTAGAGAGATGCCAGGAAGCACACACTCTGTCTTGGAATGAAAGAGAGAAGCCCATCTCAGACATGGGCCTGGAGGCAGGTGCCTGGGTGGAAATACCACATTTTGTACCCTCTGTACCCAAAGGTGGAAATGCTTTGTCACCTGAAACACATTCATCTGGTTGACATTATAATTATCCTGATTTTCTTCAAAGAGCAAGTGGCAAAGGCTGAAATAACACTCCAGTTCTGACATCTCAGGGCAAGAACTCCAGCTCCCAGCACCCGGGTGAGAGCCTGATCACAGATCAGCACAGACAGATCACAGATCACAGCACAGCACAGTTTGCTTCTGTCCCTGCCTCCTTTTGCACAAAGCAGGGTAAGTCATGAATCAGTAGGTTTCCACATAACTCAAGAGTCCCAAATAAGATCCGGGGCCCTTCTCAATCCCAGAGGTCACTTTTCTTCTCGGGGGACACCCCTCCCCCAAGAGCTGCCCCTAGTGCCAAAGGCCCCAACACTGTCGCAGCCCCACCCCTTGCCCCTTACTTACAGGCGGGAACTTTTTCCTCTGGACATACTCAGTGACGGCGGGGTCGAAGTCCTTCGCGTAGCCTTCATTGAGACTGTAGATGTTACCTTTCTTTTTGATCTTCACATTCTTGTCCACCAAAATGAATTCTCCAATGGCCTTTGAAACAAGAAAGGAAAGGTAGAGAGCCTTCAAGCAGCCTCCCCCAGGAAGATCAAGGTGTAAAGTGGCCAGGCCGGGCTGAACAGGGAGGTGTGTGGCCTATGGTCATACCTCATCCCCAGACCACCAGGGATTCCTGCCAAATGCCCCAAGAACTGCAGGCAGGGTGAGAGGAGAGAGAGTGGTGAGAATGAGTGAAAAGGAAATGGGATCCCAGTGACAGGGGAGGCTGAGGCAGGAGGGTTGCAAGCTCAAGGTCAGCCTGGGCGAATGAGCCAGACCCTGCCTCAAAATAAAATAAAAAGGGCTGAGAATGTACTTCATCAGCAAAGCAGCATGGGTTCAATCCCCAGTACTGCAAAAAATAAAATAAAATAAAAAGTCAGGCACACACCTGTGATCCCGGTGCTAGGGAGGCTAAGGCAGAAGGATTGCAAGTTCAAAGCCAGCCTCAGCAACTTAGCAAGACCCTGAGCAACTTAGCAAGACCCTGTCTCAAAATAAAATGTAAAAAGGGCTGGGTATGTGGATCAGGGGTTGAGCACCCCTGGGTTCAATCCCCAGGACCAAAAAAAGTAAAATAAAACGAGAGGAAAGGCAAAGGGTTGCTGCAGAAGTCAACAGGGTGGTAAACAGGACTTTTGACTGTTTGCAAATGATTTCCGTAAAATAAGAAAGAAACCATGCAGACATAGGGCAAGCAGAAATGTGTAAAACAGCAGCAAACCTTGAGAAAGAGGAAGAATTGTGTGTCCAAAGCAATATCAGATATGCCTTTGTACCCACTGCACTTGAGCTGTCTCAGAGGGCAGCTGGGATTCAGGAAGACAGACAACAGCAAAACCACAGTCTGTGAGCTGGCATTTCATTCTGTCTTGGCTCGTCTGTGTGTTTCTATTGAACAAAGTGGAACCCTGAGTTTTGAGTCCCAGAATATGCAACTTCAGGCACCTTTGCTCACTGATGAGCAAAGTGTATCTCAGACACTTCCTCCCACACGCCCAGCACTGAACAGATGCTGCTGGGGTTTTGGTTCTTCAAAGGAGACTTGAACTGGGGGGGGGCGGGGGAGTGCCCATAATTCCTGCTGCTCTGAATAAGGATTGTTATGGACGCCTATGTGGGAGAAGATGACCCGGGAAGGGGGGGGCAGGGCTCTGCCCACTTGGAGGGCAGGTGCTCTATTGAGGTGAGTTAAGAAGCCAGCCATTTATTCCCATAACAAAGATTGGTTCCTGTTAAAACTAGAAGGAAGGGAGGGAGAATTCACAGTGGTCATTGAAAATATCACTGCGGATGACTCTTGCTTTTTACTTTTTTTTTTTTTTTGCTTTTTTATTTTTCCACTTCCAAAATTTTTGACCATAAATATATAGGAACATTATTTTATAATCAATAAAGCAGTAATAAAAGTAAATAAATATCTTTTTTAAAAAAAGCATCTAGAAAAGGAAGCACAACAGGCAATAGGTGTTGCGTGCAGAGCTCAGTCACCCTGTCCTAGATCTAGGCTGAGGAACCAGGGTGCCAAGGAGGGGGAAACTCCCAGGAATGGAGACCAGAGACACAAAAGCTCCTCAAAAGTCAAAGCCTGCTAGGAATGCAGTGGTTTTAGCAGAAACTCTCAGCCTGTCCTTGCAGCAAGTCAAAACAAAGAGGAAGAAGTACTCAGCATCTCCCCGGTGGACAGCTTGCCCTCCTCAGGCAACAGTGAGAGGAAGAGTACAAATCAGGACGCAGGTGGCAGCCAGCAGTACACTCTCACAACAACCCACCCTGTTCCTGCAAACCTTTAGACCTAAGGAGGGAAAAGACCATCAAATACACGGAAGCCTACTCCTGGAGACCCCATCTGCAATCAGGAAGCAAGAAGAGATTTGTTTTCCCTACATGTCCATGACTCAAAGGTAACAGAGAGCACCAGAAAGACACGTGGGGAAGCCGTGGATGCTGGCCAGGCGAGACGAGAGCTGGGTCCTGGACACGGACTGAACTCTGCTCTGGTTCCGCCACAAATTCCCCCTGACGTCATCTCATTTGTTAACTGGTGCCATTGCCCTGCCCTTGTTTATTTATTAAGTGCCATGCTTCCAAGGAGGTGAAAGTCCAGTTCTGTTAAAAGTGCATGGATCAAAGATGGCCCTGTTCTGGTTAATACCACCTGCCACACACACCCAGACACTACCCCACCGGCCTCCCTGTCAGCAACCGGACCCACAGAGGATTCCAGTTTGTACTTCATACCTTGTTTTTAGTGTGTCAGCACAAAACACACTAAATGTCATAGGAAGACATTTCTAAAATTAAAAGAAACTTATAAATCCAATTCCCCCCCCCCCCCGGCACCCTGGACCAAGTGCGTAGTGAATGTGTCAATGCATAGACGAGCAGTCCTCTGAGTGCAGGGTTCAGTGGTGGGCTTGGTGGCACCAAATACTCAAAGAGATTCCTTTCCCTAATTTTACCAGTCCTGTTAAAAGTATCATCTACTTGATTGAATAAATGATGGGCAAATTTATGGAACGTAGAAGCAACTTTCCATAAATTAAAGCTATGAGTGAACATTTTTCAGAGCCGCACCCTAGCTTCTCTATAATGTAACTTTTCTCTGTGTGGTAGACGAAGGGGTTATCTTCATTCCCTTCATTTATTTTCATTTCCTTGAGTTCATCAAAGTCTTATCAAAACTGCAAGGGTGAACTGAGATTTGGTACACACACACACACACACACAAAAAAAAAAAAAACCAACTCCATTTGGGAACTGCTGTCCCCCCCACCTTTTCACAGGACGGGGGATCAAACCTGAAGCCTCACACCTGCTAGGCAAGCAGTTTACCACTGAGCTACACCCCCAGCCATTTTTATTTTTTATTTTGAGACAGCATCTCACTAAGTTGCCTGGGGTGGCCCTGAACTTACGATCCTCCCTGATGGCTATCTTCGAAGAAGCTATTTTGAAGAAGGGGTACCCCACTGTTACATGACACTGTGGGGTACCGCTTCCCCTCATGAATTCCCCTCTCAGTGAATGAGGTAGAAATACTAGCAGTGGATACGGTGGGTGGCCCACAGACCCTCCACAGGTCCCACCTGTCCACCCTCGTGTTTGGGTTGGCTGGTGCAGTGTTTACACATCTAGAAACATGACATTTTTTCAAAATCCAGTGTTCCTTGAAAAATTGTACAATTTGGCAAGACCAGGGTCTCTGTTCCCAAGTAGTTACAATTGCTGCTGGACCTCTCCAGTCCACCCCAGTCCCTACCACTGCCCCTTACCCGCCCTCCCCAGCACACTTCGCTGATTTATCTGACCTTCCTGGGCACGGCAGGCTTTTGAGTCATTGGAATAATGGAGTAGTGGCCATTTGAAAGACTTCATCCTGCAACAAAGACCCCGCTTGTGCTCTGGACAGACACCATTTCGCACCTCCATAATGTTCCCGTGTTCGTCTCCTTCCCCTTCCCACCCGACCCTATCCTTTCCATCCCTCTGGCCCACACACAGTGTACACCAACTCGCAGCCACTACCCAGCACCCAGCCTCCCCCGCGCCCTCTCACCGGGTCCAGCATGAAGCAGTTGACCCCACTCTCGGTGGCCAAGACCAACATGGTGGCACTGCCATAGAGCGCGTAGCCAGCTGCCACCAGGTTCCGGCCTGGCTGCAGAGCATCCTTCTCGGAAGGCTCACCCGTGGATTGCTAGAGGGAAAAAAAAAAAAACATGTTTTTGTTTGGTTTTATGGATCTTTTCTCTGGATCAACCATTAGCAGGATGCATTGTCCAGGTGTTCTCCTAATGAAGCAGGCATCTTCCCAGAGGGACCTTCCTCCACATCAGTCACATCCTTATTACATTACCATGGCAGCCTTCCCACCAGACCCTGAATTTCCTGCATCTGGATGCTTCTTTCCAATCAGGGGCCTCCTCCCATTCTTCTAATTTGATAATCCTTCATCTCTCCATTATCACTTCCAAAAAACAGCATGCTTCTTGCCAGCTCCCTCTAATTTAATCTGATTATGGGCATCAATGTCTTTCACCTGCCTACTCCATCTTTATTTAAACCAATTAACACCAGGCTGCAGGGCAGTGAGTCTGGGAGGAAATCAATTTCAAGAGCTCTTGCCAGTCACAGCACAGGCTGTGTGGTCATATCATCTCGTGTCCAAGAAATACCCAGAATTTGCAAAACCTCCCCAGAGTCACTGCAGGGAAGGCAGGTGCTGCCCAGCCTTTGACCATGACCCACAGTAAGAAACACATTGTAAAGCTGATCTCATAGAGGTTGAGAGTGGGTGGTGGTTACCAGAGGCTGGAGAGGAGGGGAAAGGAGAGCGAGGCAGGTTAGGCAGTGATACCGTCCCAGTTAGACAGGAGAGGCAAGCCCCCTGTTCTCCTGCACGGTAGGGTGACTACAGATCATGATAATGGACTGTGTATTCCAGAAAAGCCAGCAGAAAGGATTGTGAATGTTCTCACCACAAATAAATGTCAAATGAGGAGAAAGACACCCTTGCCCTGCTTTGAACATTACACAATGAGTGCATGTAGCAGGCATCACATGATATCCCATAGTAATTGTGGTCAGTTTTGAAAGAAAAAAGTAATACATTTTACATCAGGAACCAGTACAGCCCACATGCATATGTGCTCGCGCGCACACACACACACACACACACACACAAATTAACCAACAATACCTACACTTAGAATGTGACATAGACTCTATTTTTTTTCATTCAAAGCACTGAGTCATGTGACCCAGTTTATCTAATAAGAAGAAAGGGAATGACTTAAAAGGTGGCTCCTAATCGTGATTTCTTATTGATAATCATGTTCAGTCCTCAGAATAGCCCTAAACAAACTAAGTTTGATGCTCTCTGCCTGAACTTTTTAAAAAAAAAATTTAAATGGCCAATTTCCTCCAATTTCCTTTACTCCTTCAGCAGCTGGAGATTCCAGAAGCTGAGAGTGTCTCTACCAAGGAGCTGAAGAGCAAGGTTCCCAGCAGACAGAGTCCAGGTCATTCCTTCCTAGAGCTTTTTAATGTGTGGCCCATGGACCATCTGCATCAGAATCACCTGAGATACTTAAGAAAAACGCGTTCTCTGTGGCTATAGTCCAGACTTATCAGGCCAACCTGTCTAGGCTGGGTCCTGGGATCTGCATTTTATTACATGCCTTAGGTGACTCTTGAACCAACTATTCATGTAAAAGGAAAAAATGAAAACAATCCTCTCCATCAGTTCTGCCCATAGTTTTCACCTGGGTTGTTGGTTGGTTAACGGGTCCAGTTACTTGATTTAATTTGGTTTGTATTCACCAGATAGTGCAGACTCAACCCAGGATCCAAAATTTGAGTTGTTTTCCCTAAATGGCAAGTGTTGCCAATGTCTCACCTTGAAAAAAAAGAGATTAATGGTTTTGTCAATATGGACCACCTGCCTGAGGTCAGAGGTTAACAAATAACTGCTTCCCTTGAATCCAGTGACACAGTGGAAGGACCCGGGCCTCTAACTATCCTCTCCTTCCATTCAGGTTGAGTCCTCTGGAGGGTCACCTGGCCCAGAACCCCCCATGCCTTCCTGCAGCAAAGATGCAAACGTAAACAACCAATTCCCCAAAACACTGTCACCAAACACTCTCCCATGGGGCCTTCCTTGCATGGACTAAGGAACACAAACACTTGTCTATGACACCCACATACCCAAAAGAAAGAGAAAATAAACACATGGAATCCTAGATTGGGAGGAATTCTCTTCTAACCCATCACCCTTCCCAGAGCATGAATTTGCTCCTCCAAACCCAAGCACCGCACGTCTTTCTTCCCAGGGTGTGTAGTCCATCCCCTGGCAGATGCCTGGGGAAGAGGGTAATGGGCACAAAGTACTTGGAAAAATTATAAAGTTTTAGTCCCTACCATTGTCTACCCAAGGTTCCATCTGCTGTAGGTGTTATCTCCCATAAAGAGTACAGGGGAATCCCAGTGGTTCCGGAGGCTGAGGCAGGAGGATCACGAGTTCAAAGCCACCCTCAGCAATTTAGCGAAGCCCTAAGCGATTCCCTGTTTCTAAATAAAATACAAAAAAGGGCTGGGGAATGTGGCTCAGTGGTTAAGTGCCCTTGGGTTCCATCCCTGATACCAAAAATAAATAAATAAAGAGCACAGGGAAGACGTCTGAGGTGGCGAAGGAGAAAGGCAGAAATGGGTGGGGTAGGGACTGTCAAGTCGCAAAGGTCTTTCCTCATAGTGAAAACCATTAAAGCCTCCTTTTGAAGCTCTGCTTTTAGTTTTGGGGACTGAATAGTTTCAAGGTGTGTTGCCAATTTGTGTGTCCAGGAGCGGGTGCAGGCTAGAGGGAGATCGAAAATCGCCTCCGATAGAAAGATGAAAGGTGTTTAACTCAAAGAAGAAAACAAAGGCGGGTAGGAAAGCTGTTTCCAAACACGTAAAAAACCTCATGTGATGCTCCAAAAAGCCAAATGAGCAATCACGAGACAGACGTTCTAGCCGTGGTGTGGCCTGACGCCTTGAGAGAATCTGTCCTGTGCACATGTCTCCAGCCAGAAGCAGGGTGAGCTGCAGCAGGAACAGCTAGAACCTTGGGCCACATGCTGTTGAGGTCCTTTTGAGCCTCTTTCCAGTCATCACGTGGACAAGGCCTGATCCCAGCTACGGGTGCTCTCCACTGAGCATGTGCACCAAGAAGCTGAGTCCCCAGCAAGAGCCACCTCTGCAGAAAGCAGGATAGGTCTCCGTGAATTCTCAGACACATCACCAACAACAGGTGTTCTGCATGTGGAAGAGCTGCAGCAAACCTCTCCGGCTATGGTACAGACCTGGTGCCCCGCGGGGAAAATCTCATCTCTCTGTGTCCAGGGCAGGAATGGTGTGTTTCAGGGCATGAATGGGACCGGAGAGAAAGCACCGCCTTTGCCTTGTGGGAGGAGGGTCGGAAGCTCCTGTTATGCACACTGATACTAAAGTGCATCTGGCTGTCACCCAGGGCAAAGGAAAACTCATCCAGTGACCCATGACGACTGTCCCACGGTGCTGCTACCTTCCACGTGGACGGAACGGGAAGCCTTGGGCAACAGTGAACAATGAGTCACTTTGAGAAGCAGAGGGGACTCTGGGTCTCACGACTAAGCTCCAGCCTTCATCACCTAAAATATGGCTCAGTGGAATGAACCACTTCATCCACGGAGATGAAGAAACGGGATGAGACAGCTGTCACCTGTGAGCTGTCCTATTTCTAAATAGATAAGAGCTGGGCGGGGGCACAGCTCCTCGGCAGAGCACTTGCCTAGCATGCAATTAGCCCTGAGTTCTGCCCCCCACACTGCAAAACTGAAAAATAAAATAAATAAGAGCTGAAGCCAAGAGGGCTTGTGGCCCATTTTATACTGTCTTATGGTGGCCACACAGACACTCTCCCTGTGTTTCATTTTCTCTATACTTGAGCATGCTCTCTTCCCCCCTTCTCCTCTCTCTCTCTCTCTCTCTCTCTCTCTCTCTCTCTCTCTCTCTCATATACACACAGACTCTAAAGAAAAAGGAGAGAGGAGAGAGGCTCTTGGAGGTGGAGTGACTGCCCAGGTCAGGCAGTTCCAAGTCTCAGGGAGGGACCCATCCTGTGCTGCACAGTGTGCCCTCCAGGACCCACAGCAGGGGGCGCAAGCCCTTTCTACAGACAGAGGAAATAGTTCAGGCTCCACGGGTCACCCAGCCTCTATCACTGCCACTGCCCCTCTCAGTATGCCCAAAAGTCAGCCAAAGACAATATGTAAATAAATGTGCCTGTGCCAATAAAACCCTGTGAATGGTGAAAAGTAAATATCATGTGAATTTCATGGACCAATGAAACGATCTTCTTTAGATTTTTTTCAATCCTTTAAAAACTGTAAAATGGTTATTCTTTGGTCATAGGCCATTTAATTTCAGCAGTGATTTACAGGACTTAAAGGACAATTTTTACATAGATAATCTCAGTCGCTGTCAGACTCTCAATTCACACAGTATCATCATGAAACTTTTTTTTAATGTAATTTTCTAACATAAAAGAAAGATATAGCTAAAAGAGTGAAATATCTTTCTGCTCCTACTCACATTTTACTATTATATTTTTTAGAAAACAACTTCATGGATTTTTATTATCTAATTAATGTTGAAAAGCTAGAAGGTGACTTGCTAATCAACTCAGACCTCAGAGTTTCATCCTATAAGTTCTAGATGCTTCCCCTAGTGAAACAGGATCAGATTCTCCACCTTAACTTTTTTTTTTTTTATCTAAAACCAGGGGCTGAATAGATCCCATTTTACCTTTCTGTAGATGCCAAAAATGGTTCCAATGGATACGAGGCAGTCAATGTTTGAAGAGCCATCAAGGGGATCAAAACAGACCACATATTTACCCTGAGCAGAGAAAAAAGATAAACAATTAAAAATAATAATGATAAATAATAATAATAATAATAAATAAAAAGACATACTTTTTTAAATATTGTAACAAAATTGGGAATTTACACCAAGCAGTCAAAATGGGCCTGTAGAGCAAGCTTAAGAAATGAGAGTCATTTATTTTCACTCTGTCAGGGAAGACATGAGAGGAGAAAGAGAGAATTCGAAAGATGATTAAGCAGAGAAGAGACCATTTAGAATAGGAAGTACACATGGAGGCGATAGACTACAGATAAAGAAGTCATAATTTCCTACATCATGGATAGAGTTTAATTATGATTTTGGTTTGAGAGTCCTGGCAGCCACAGAAAAAGAGAAGCAAGATTAGAAATAACTTCTCCTGGGCTGGGGATGTGGCTCAAGTGGTAGCACGCTCGACTTGGCGTGCGTGCGGCCCAGGTTCGATTCTTAGCACCACATACAAACAAAGATGTTGTGTCCACTGAAAACTAAAAAAGAAATATTAAAAAAAAAAGAAAAGAAATAACTTCTCCTTATTTGTAGGGGGAAGAAAAAAACAATTTTTTAGTTGAAACAAAGACCTTCCTAGCATTCAGACCTATAAGAAACTTCCCATGCAGATCTCAAAATGCCATGTGAGGTTGCGGTTGTCAACAATATCCCTAGTGTAACTCCCAAGGGAGATGACCCTCTGTTGTAGTGGGACTATCAAAGATTCATTCCTTGAATGGGAGCTGACTGGTATGGGCTCTCAAGATCTAACTGTGCACATCTAATTCTGCTTTCAATGATGTTATGGTGGTAGCTTAAAGTGAATCTATGATTAATGCATTTATATCATTGACTGGTAAATATTACAAATCAGATTTTTTTTTTTTTGAGAGAGAGAGCCAGTTTATCAGCACATCAGTGGGAATTTTCATTCTTCAAATTAGCCTCCTTAAATGTGGTTTTTAAATGTCCTGCACTGGATTAAGATAATTTCCTGGCCTCTTGCTCTTCACAAATCACCTCCTGCTAGCGGGAGAAACTGGAAAATGGAAATGTGCCCCCTGTGGCAGCCAGAGAAGCTTAGGGTGACTGATGGAGAAGGTTCAAAAATGAATTCAATCCATATGCCCCAAACTGCCAAAGTCCATGAGAGAAAAACACCAACTGTGACTCTGACATGTAAGTGCTGTTTTAGGAATGATGGAAAGCCAGTTAATAAGACGTGTCCTCGACCCTCTTAATAAAATGGAGACAGGCAGTCTCTTTATCTTCTGATTTCCTTTTTTAGTTCTACTCCATGTCCCCAGTTGTCTGGGGGCAGGGAGGCAAGGTAATAAGTCCATACAACTGTACTTCTTGTCCCCATGGTCTTTTTCATCATAATCACTATTGTGTTATAAAAGCTGGATTTACTCTTTCATTCCACAATCTTTTCCAACAGTCATTTGGCGCTGACCCCCTGCTATGTGGCAGGCCTCGGGACAGATGCTGGGATACAGAGAATATGATTTGTTCCCTCCCTTGACCAGTAGGCATCCCATGATTCCAACGCACAGATCAGTGAGGGAAATTCGGAGGGGGTTGCGTTGGCAGGAGGGTCAGGAGAGAAGGCTGGGGATTGGATGCAGGGAGATTCCCAGAAGAGGCAGTAAGAGCTTGAACCTGCCCTCGGGAAGTGAGAACCAAGGTCAAGTCCATGGGAGAGAAGAACCCACATGATCACAGGACGAGCGCACATGGGTGAGGGAGGGTGGGCCTGAGATTGGCAGTAAGGTGGAATGGGTGAAAAGAGGACAGGAAGGAGCTAGAGTGGTTCCTGGGAGTCCAGTCTGAATAAACAGGTAGTCATTTGTGCAGCTCAGAAGAAAAATGGCTTCATTCCATCCCTGAGCAGGAGGTTCCAGACCCACCCTTTTCTCCTGCTCTACGATGATGGCGTGTTTGTCTTCTTCGGACACAAGAACACAGGTGGAAAAGGACGACTTTAGCACGTTCATAACCAGGTCATTGGAGAGGACATCCAGCTTCTTAACTTGGTCACCTGTCACATTGGTAGAGCCAGCGATGCCATAGCTGGAGGGAAGAAAGCCACAAAAAATAAACCACAGCCACCAGAATCCACAGATGTACCCACACACCCACTGAAAGGGAGCATTTAGCAAGATTTAGAAGAAAGAAAAGAAGATAGATACACGGTGTGGAAGAGCCAATCCAGGACAGATGAGTGCCCCGGATTGACTCCAATGACCGTCACTCTCAAGGCCAACTCCCTGTCACCCACCCTGCACACCTTTGTGGTCAGATCCACATGCTTCCATCTTTTCTTTACTCACATCATGTTGCCCATAAGGAGCCTTTTAAAACATTTTTTCCTGATTCTACTCCCCCATGAAATGCTAATTTTAATAATATAGAGGTGCATCCATTTATTACTCTATGTATATCTATGTATTATAACAGAAAAGCCTGGAGATTTTTGTACTTTTGTTTTATCCAAGAACTCATTTTTATCCCCACCTGCACAGGTTAAAGGAATCAGCAGAGAGACACAGCAAGCAGGAAGCTTGGCTCAGAGCCACCCAAGGTGTCTGCTGACCAAGAGGTTCTACAGATGCACAACAAATAAGGTCCTGGAAGACAGTGGACATTGACTGGTTTCACCGCCTCATTTTTTACACCACCAAACAGATTCTGAGGCAAGTGTGGGTCCCTCCAGACCACCCAGCTAGAGCAGAGGAGGGTCATTCCCTCTGGCTTGCAGCCTGGGTACCCTTGGTGGCCCCTGTGGCCCCAGAAGGCGTCCTAGGGGATAAGGGAGCCCAGAGCTTTTGCTTTATTTTTAAACTACCTGCAAGTCAGTAATTGTAGACTTCCCAGAATCCAAGGGGCTTGTCCCAAGTGCAGCTGGCTTGTTAGCATGAGAGAAGACGCAGGTTGTCATGGCCTGAGACTGAACCCAGAAGGAGGCAGAGAAGAGACAGGAGCCTGGGTGAGCAAAGACAAAGAAAAAGAGGAAGAGAAGCAGCATTGAAGATGCCAGCTGCACATGGAGGCCAGGGTCCAACGGCAACCTTGGCGGGATTAGGAACAATTGTCATACTCCTGTGCCTGCGACTGCTTCCTCTCCTGAAGACACATTTTCCCAAAAGGTAACTTGCTTGTATCTGGCTTGGCAAAATGAAGTCCACCCTAAAAACCATCCAAACCCAAATGCCCAGCCTGGGTGACTGTCTCCAGGGGGTCACCCCAGTGGTCTCATCAATCCCCTTATCAGTGTCCTCCACTTTCGGCATCTTTCCAGCCTGGAAGCGGCGTCCACCCTGGCCCCTACTGGCCTCCTCTCCTTTCTTTTCACCTGTCACTCTGTATTCAGGAGCAAAAGACCAAGGGTCCTTGCTGCGTGTCTCTGGGCTGCTTTTCTTTCCACATTATTTCTTTCTGAACTCGATTGCGAAGCCAACAGTGGTGGAAGAGAGCCCAAGTCTGGGTGGACCAGAGGGGCTGTGCCAGAGCCACCAACCCAAACACCTCCCCCCTCGCTGGCCCCACTAGTGACAACCCCCACCCCCCGGCCAGCCTGGGTTTCCACCCTAAAGTCACTGTTGATTCAGAAGGGCAGACAGTGCTGACCTACGAGCACATGGGCCTGAGGGCAGAGACGTGGTCCAGACCTCAGCTCCGCAGGTCACTTTGCTGTGCTCTTTCAGAGGGTTTCTTAATGCCAGGGCTCACTGGGACGGCCCTCCAGCCACGCGTCCTAGGAAAGTTACACAGTGAATGACTTTTGAGCTTGAGGGGCTCAAACTAATCTATCTCCAGAAAGCTCTCTCCGTGAGAACAGAACAGAGACACTTACTGGGGGAAAGAGTTCTGAAGAAAGCTGGAAGAACCGGCCTCTCACATTGGCCCCATTAGCACTTTACCACCCAGTGGTGCCGGGGCCACCCTGAAGGCAGGGGACCTGAAGAGGCAGCTGGTTGTTGGCCGGGTTTGGTGAAGAGCCACTTCCATGAAGCCTGTGGTGAGGGTCCCGTAAGTTGCTGGTGTCTGGTATCTTTTGTGGCTCACACGACTGCCATCGTGGACAGGTTGGCCACCCTCTGGGACCCTCGGCTTTTGTGTGTTGGTCCCTCCGTGGCCTCTCTCTGTGGCTAGGAGCCCTCTCAGGATCTTGGAGCAGCAGTGAGCAAACCTGGCTCATGTCACCTTCCCCAACACTGAGCATGACCTTCTGTAGCCCAGGGAAAGACACAGGAGAGAGCTTTCTGGAGATAGATTAGTCTGAGCCCCTCAAGCTCAAAAGTCATTCACTGTGTGACTTTCCTAGGATGTGTGGCTGGAGGGACCTTCACAGTGAGCCCTGGCATTAAGAAACCCTCTGAAAAGGCCCAGGAAAGTGACATGAAGGCAGGAACAGGGCTCAGGAGGGTGAATTGCTAGGCTGCCAACCAAAAATGCTGCCATGTGGGTAGGAATGACGTCTAGGTTTGTGTCACGATTTTTGGACCCTCTGTGACTCACATCTCAGCATTTGAGGGCGACGGTGAGCTGAGTTTCTCGTTCCCCTCACTGAGCTCCATTCATCTGATCAGGGAGCCACAGCCATCATGGCAGCTGTGGTTGGATGAATGCTCACCCCAGCTTCCCCCCCCCCTACATCTCAGCGGGACCCTCAAAGGGGCTGTCTCCAAGGCAATGCTCGTCCTCGTCAATAGAAAGCTAAAGTAGGTGAGGCTTTTGTGACTTAGCAAAGAGGGAAAGCCCTTAGAAATATCTTCCAGGAACTCCTAAACTGAAGGGCACATGGAGTTTATCCCCTTAGAAATAATCAAATTGTTCAGGTTGATCAGTCATCATTCCTCAAGGGTCCTGAAGGATAGATGTGCAAGGGCCTCCTCTCCACATCGTGATGACCACATGGACAGAGCCAGAGGAGTTGCCTACAGAGTCAACAGCAGGTACGGCCTAGGCTCACACCTAGCGACAACCTCCAGGGCTCTGCCTGACCCACTGAGCCAGGGCTTTACGGACAAAGCAGCTATGTACCTCAAATGGAAATTCTAGGCAGACTCAAGAGGCCAAGAGCCAGTCTTGGTTTGGAAGGAGTTTCCATGCCAGCCGTGAACCCCAGATGAGAGGAAGCCCTCTTCACACCACCTGGGTCTCTTTCAGGTCAGTTCTTTGGGGCCAGAATGAGGCAGCAAATGGGGCTGCAGGGATCTGGGGAACCCTGACCAAACGAGCTTTCCCTGGGGCCAACTGTGCCTTAACAACTGGTGGAGAAAGAGAAAGAAGCTGTAACAGTGAAGGAGCAGGTGGACCTCAGCACACTGTGCACCCCTGGGATCAGCCACCTCTCCAACCCCCACCCAGAAAAGGGGTCTGTAGCAGTTGATCCCACTGCACAGTGGCATCGGCCAAAGGAGTTTGTCTTAGATAGGAGTTATTACGGCAGGGAGAGACCACATCGCGAGCTTCTCTTCCTTGGGCCTTTAAGCAGAAATGTCAGAACTTGAGAGATGGAAGAAGAAAAACTACGTGTGGCCTCCCGCAAGGTGCAGTGAGAAGCAAGCAAGAGAATCGGGGAGCAGCCAAGGCCCAAGAGCCTCTGACCACTTCTGCAGGCCATGGAATTAAATGTCCTACACACCACAGCACAAGGAAACCAGCTGAGCACCCAGGGCCCTGAACCAGGGCACAATTTCACAAGATTCAGCTGTTCAGGCACGTGTGGCTCACAGCTGGCTTTCAAAGCTTGAAGCATCTGGGGCATGCGTTGAAACTGCATTATTCCAGAAGGCCCAGGACACTCGCTTCCCAGGTATCCTCATCAAAGTGACTGGAAAAGAGAACAGTGGACAGCGCTGAGCATGTAGTGATGGATGTATTTTGGAAACTCTCTGTGTTGGATTTTGATTGAAGTTTATAAGATGAATACATAATTACACATTATCTTTTGGGTGATTTTAATTAAAGGGGTTTTGAAAATAGAAAGAGCAGAGCTGATTAACGAGGGACCTATTCTTGCTCCTGATATGTATGTGGTAAGTTAATAGGTACAACTAACTGTTGGGTGGGGGAAACTTCTGGAAGCAGCAGGGAGGGGTTAATCCACTTCTCAGGTGTTTGCCTTGAAAATGGAAACCTCTTCGTGAATGTGGGTGGTCAGCACGGACCACCAAAGAGGTGCGGACGGACAACCACTTAAGGATCCCAGACCAACACTGAGGACACCCGGCTCCAGGAGTGTCTCCCTGATGTCAGGAGTCTGATGACATCTCCAGGAATGGGCCACCAGCATCAGTGACAGCACATGACCCCCCCCTAAGCACGTTAGGGCGAGAGGGCCTCTTCTCCCACCCCAATCAGAGAGGACCCAGAGAAGCCACAAGCTGGGAGGAGTGACTTCTCTGCATTGGTCTCATGGCCTGTGGGAGGAACCCCTCTTCACAGGAGCCCCTGGATCGAGGGCACAGATTGGCTGCCACTGGAAGTGTCATCCTAACCCTGATTGCAGAGGATGTGGCCAACCTGCATGGGGCTGCCAGGGGGCAAGCCTCTGGCTCTGGCACTCCCGCTGGGCCAGTCTGAGGACGTTCTCTCCCACACACAGCTCTCTGCCTGGGGATGGGCACAGGGGCTCCTGAGATCACTGTTTTCATTTGTTTGTTTTATTTTCTGGTGAGGCCTAAACCTGAAGCCCAGGCACGAGGTGAATGATCTCTGAGGACAGAAACTCTCTCCCAGAAATGGTACATTTGAAGGGGCCTCTGGGAGAAGAAAGGCCTTCCAGTTCCCGAGCCTGGAAAAGAGAATATGTTGCTCACCCTGTATCCTTAGCACCTGGAACAATGCCCACACATAGTAAGTGCTCCATAAACTCTTCTAGAATGAATGAATTAATTTAGAGAATAATACGGGATCCAAGGACATCTAAGGTTACAAACTCCATTCAACCTAATGGCATCGTCAAAACCTACCATCCAAGATCCCCATCTCTGACACAACCACTGCAGATTAACACACCTCCTGATAAAAGGCAGGCAAGTGGCCCTTCCCTCCAGCCAGTGCACCAGGAGACGGCAGGACAAGGTGGTCAAGGCCATGTGCAGCCTGGGACTAGACAATGGGGGTTCAAATCCCAGCTCTGCCACATGCTTAGCAGCCCTAAATGCAGGTCACTCTGCACCCCTGACCTTTGGTGCTTCCTCTGTAACATGGAATATGGTGCATCTGCTTCGTGCTTTTAGAGAGGAGTGCCTGAGTTGACAGAGGTCAAAGTGTAGGTAAGTGTGAAAGAAATAGTACTGTTCCATGGCCATGCCCAGTTCCCTCAGCATTAACACATCCACAATGAGAAGCAAGGTAGGATCCTGGCAAGACGCAGCACCCCAAAGATCTGTGTTCAGATTCTGCCTTTCCCTCTTCCTGATTATGGGACCTCCACCAAGTTGTCCAAACCATCCGACTAACGGCTTCTGGCCAGGTTTGTAGGCCTGATGGATAACGCCTGCAATGCCCCTGGCTCAGAGAAGCACTTCCTCCCTAAAGTGGCACCCACCATTGCTCTCAGACCTCCTGGGCTTCTGCTGAGGAAGTGATGGGAGTGACACCCCCCAAACCAGTTTCTAGGCAACTTCTGGGGTGACAGCCAGTGCAGAGCTGTTGTCACAAGTAATTGACAAAAAAACAAGTGTGCCAAGTTTACGTACAAGCTCTCGCTGAGAATAATATTTCATTTGAGATGTTTGTGACATTTCACTTCCATTTTATTCAAATTACTTGGCACTATAGCCCAACTAGTTAAAGTGGGGAAAGTCCCCTCAGGAGTCAAGCTTCTGTGTCATGACCTTTCCCTTTCAAATTCCTAGAGACAAACATCAAAAAAAAAAAAAAATCTCTTCCTGGAACTTTAGGGGCCAAAATTCAATTTGAGAAGCAGTCCTTAATATCTCATCTTCTACTTTCTCTGTAAACCTCACCAAAAAACTTGAAAAAGTACTATAAGTCACTGAAATTCATAGAATAGGGAATTTCTTGAAGCCTAGATTAATTTGCTCAGTATTTTGAAATCCTTGGAAATTTGGATTAAATGTTAGCATTGATTATTGCATATGGTTTCTACAATAGGATGTGTTGTTTCTGGGCCATGAAATCTGTGATGTTTCACAGGTGATTTCTGATGACCAAGGAAAGCTGCCTTTCACAGCAATTCCGAAGACAGTACTGGACATGTGGACCAGAGCCAGGGCCTGCCTCACCTTGAGACAAGCTCTGCAGGACTTCCTTGGTTGGTGCACGGACTGAGGACCATTTCCTCCTGATGTCAACAGGACAACGTAAGCAGCAGCAGCATAGACAGTGAGCAAAAGAACCAAGCTCATCTTCATAATTCCCAATCCAGGAAAAAGCAAGGCTTATTATTTAATCCTTATCACTAAAGTCCAATGTAACACTGGTTTATTATTGATTGCTTCCATGGTAAATGACCAACCACTCACCCAACCAGGAGCATCCAAGGGTTAGTTCAGAAATACGTTGAAGAGGTGCCGACCAAGCAGCTTTCAAGGTCATCAAAACAACCTTTGCTTGTGTTCACGGAGGCTGAAAATGGGCAAACAGGACAACGTGGGGCTGGCTGTACTTTCATGGAAAGGAAGTCATAGTTCACTCTCTGGTTATGTGCAGAAGATAAGCCAAGAAATAGAAAATAAATCTGATAATGTCTCCACTAGTTTAATGTCATAAACACTGCAAGTCTGAAGGCAAGCTTAAGCATGTATAAGCTGGCCTGTAATTCCAAAATTAAAATGAAATTTCATAGTATTTTCTTTCATCACCTGAAGAAGACCCCACATGCAAATGTAACTTATGGACCCAACAAAAATATGATAGGAAAACGTTTCCTATTGCAAATTTGTTTTCCCACGTGGTGCTCTAGCCTGTATCCCTGCTGCTAAGAAATGAAAAGCCATATACAGAGAACAGTCCTCCCCCCGAGAAAAAAATAGTCTTTAGGAAAATAGTTATAACATTGGTATCTGATTATAAGCTCACCTTCACACAACTCCCTGAGTTTGAACACACAGCTGTCCCCCATCTCACAAGTGGGGAAACTGAGGCTCAGGAATGCTATGTCACCTGCCCATATTCTCAGAGGAATCAAGGGCCAGGAATGTGAGAAATGCACTCCCAAGTTCCTGCTGTGCTAACTCCAGTCCTGATCTCCTTTCTTCTCTGCCTCAGAGAAAGTGTGCCAAAATCCAGTGGCCAAATCCTTAGTAGGCACTTCTGGCCCAATTGGCACATCTGACTGCGGGCTGGACATCTCCAATGGCATAGCTCTCCAATACCTCAAGTTCAGTATTTTCAAAATGTCAAAACCATCTTTTCACCCGTCCCCAGCCTCTAAAACCAGCTCTGCCTTGGAGGAGCTTGTGTTTTTATAAGTTGGGTCTTGTCGTCTGTATGGCTTTGTTTTGTTGTTTTACTTTGTTTTGTTTGGGGGAGGTGGGCACCAGGGATTGAACTCAGGAGCACTCAGCCACTGAACCACATCCTCAGCCCTACTTTGTATTTTATTCAGAGACAGGGTCTCGCTGAGTCGCTTTGTGCTCGCCGTTGCTGAGGCTGGCTTTGAACTCATGATCCTCCTGCCTCAGCCTCCTGAGCTGCTGGGATGACAGACGTGCGCCCCTGCACCCAGCTGCTTTGGTTTTTGATGGTGCAACTCTGCTCTCAATTGCCAGAACCAGCTCTTTGATACCCGCTCCCTGCCCCTCTCATCCGTCCATGCTCAGACCTCACCTTCCTGTGCGTTCTCCCGGCCCCTCCAATGCCACAGCTCTCGTGGCCTCTTACAGGAACTCCCTTTCTCACTGGTTTTCCAAATGTCTCATCTGCCAACACCATCCTTATAGCCCTCTTCTCCCTAGATTAATCTCCCATAATGCCACTGCCCAACTCAAAAACCCCTGCCCTCTCCCTTTCCATAATCTCCCAAATGTGTAAAGAGGCCACTCTTGTCACTGGATGCTCCTCCAGAACACCCCCAATTTCACACCACAAACGCCCCAGCATTTGTACTCCAGGCCCTGGTCAAACTGAATGAGCAGTTTTCCCAGAAACACTTTCCCCACACAGGACCTTTCCTCACCTGACCGCCCAGTCTAACTGCTCAACAGCCATCCAGCCTGTGGCTGCCCTTACTGTCCTCACAGAAGCCCACCTTGATGCTCCCCAATCCCTCGTGCCTGAATCATGGTCCTGGCCCCTCTGCGACAGCATCTCTCAGAAGTCCTCCTATGTCCTACAACAAATTCTTGGCTTGGCTTGTTCTTCTGGTGGTAAGATCTGTGCTGTTACATCTCTCCGTCTCTTCTGGAGCTTTGTCCTTTGTGGGTGTGCAATAGCAGTATGTTAAATGAAGCGGAGCCCAGGAATTCTTCAGGTGGTGATTTGGAAACATGTTCAAAGGGAAACCAGCAACATCCGCGCCACAAAGCCACAAAGCTTCAGGCTGTGGAGGACCACTTTCTCCCCAGGAATGCAAACAAAGAAGTGGGACAACAGTGACTTTGTCACTTGAGCCATGAATTCACCAGCTCTTCTTACAAGCTACTGTGAAGGACAGAAGGCTGGCCACCTCCTGCACAGATCTGTATGCGCTCTCCCCTCAGGTGGGTGGAGAGGAGCAGAAGTGTTCAGATAGATAAGGCTTCAAGGCCATGCTTGCCAAAGGACGGTGGCTCCTTGGGATGTAATTCTTAATTTACATCAAAGGTGGGATGAATGAATGAGATTTAGAATTGGGTGAGCTTTAACTTTTTAACTTTTTTAAAAAACTTTTTTTTAATTGTCAATGGACCTTTATTTTATTTATTTACATGCGGTGCTGAGAATCGAACCCAGTGCCTCGCACAGGCCAGGCAGGTGCTCTACCACTGAGCCACCACCCCATCCCCACTTTTTAACTTGTTTTGTCTGGGTTTGGTTTTTGGTGGTGCTGGGGTCTGAAATCAGGGCCCATGCTAGGGTACATGCTAGGCAAGTGCTCTAACACGGAGCTACACCCCAGTCAATCTTTAATGGTTTCTTTAAAAATAAATAAATAAATAAAGCATATGGTATACAAGAAGATCCCCATACTGGGGTTCTGGAGACCTGGGCCACAAGCCAAGTCAACTCACCTTCCTGGCCTTGGGGTCCTCAGCTATACAGAAGGGAACTGGACTAGGTAGCCCATGAGCCTCCTTCAGTTCAAAACTCTCTTACTGGGAGCAATGAACGTGACTTCACTGGCAAACTCAGGTTGGCACAGAGGAAGAGCATGTGGCCATCAGGCTCCAACCTTACACTCCTGATGATTCCTAATGGGTTGTTATCGTGAGTGAGTCCACAAACTGTGCCCGTGCGTGCACCCACTCCCTTGAGCATATGACCTTCTAGAGCAAATCTTTAGCACTAATAAGCTCTTTGAGGGCTTGCTGGCTCCCCACCTAACACATCAAAGCCTCTGATGAATGTAATTTGGAAACCTGGCTGGAGATCTTGTCGTATTTCTACCGGTCTGACCACATGTCATCCTGAGCACAAACTTATTTTCCCACATCGTGTCGAATGAAAAAGCAAACTGGACACATATGTTAAGAATGATCCCATTGTGTTTGCTATTTGCATATGGGAATATGTAAACATGTGTTCATGTATAAATCTGTATGAGTGTAAAGAAGTATCTGGAAAATACTAGGGAAACTGTCAACAGTGAATACCCCAGGAAATGGATATGGGGTAGTTTCACTTTTTCCTATATGTTCTTTTGAATGGTTTGATTTTTTTTTTAATAAATTAGTGCAACTTACTAAGTGGTTTATAACAACAGTGATTTAAAAAAAAAAAAAACTCGTGTTCACATCTCTCAAGTCTGAAATACACATCTTATGTAGTCATAATTAGCACCCCTTTTCCCAGGTACTGCTATCTGAGGTTGCTTAAAAGGTAGGACACCTCAAAGCAGATCTTGTGCTCCTGAGTCTCTCTTGGGTTGTAAAGGGTACTGACATGTTTTTAAAACATCATAAAAAAATGGAACTGCTATTTCTTACAAATCACCCTAGTCCTTAAAAAGGGCTAAAGCCTTAAGGCCACCTACACTTGTCGTAAATTAAATCTGTTTGCTAAAGCAAAGAATCCTTAGAAACACATTATTAGGAGGGGCTGAGAGTACAATAATAACAGAGTCATCACCTTTCTTAACATACCTGGCCCTCTCTCTCCTACAAGGAAGGCCTGGCCTTGCTTGACTTCTGAAAATAAATGTGACCATTCGCTTCTTTCTTAAGAATTAGCTCAACCAACCCATTCTGTGGGACCAGAGCTTGCCAGAAAACAGAAGCCAGGTCACACTGCTGGGGAGCTGTAACAAATCTAGGGAGGCATTCCAAAGTAGCAGGATCGGCTATGGGCATCCTGTGTCATTTTGTAGTGTTCACAGGTGTGGGAAAAGTCAGGAAGGGGTATGGACAATCTGAAAATCCAGCTATCCTTCAGGGGAAGTAAGAACCAATGAGATTTAAAATACTTGTGCACACCAGAACAAATCAAAGGGTGTTGTGTGGCTTACCAAAAGGGTTGCAAGGAGGTACCCCTGAGTCCCCATGTTCCCTGACTCCTCACTACTCATAATGGTGATCAGCACACGAGGACTACTTGGAAATGCAGAATCCGGGGCCTCACCCCAGACCTACTACAAGAAGGGCCACCTCTGAACAAGATCCACAAAGGACTCCTGTGCACACTGAAGTCTGAAAAGCACTTCCTAGCTCATTCGAAACCATTCTACTTATACACATTTTTAAAACTATTCACTAACCCAGAAAGGGCCTTACACACCATTATTGTAAATGGGTAGAGATTTTGAAGCTCACCGGGTGAATTTTTCCTGCTTACGAGACAGTGTGGCAATTGCCCTAGACAGGGGTGGGCCAGTGGAGCACGCGGCACACCAGGGAAAACTTCCCAGAGAAAATGATAGTTGTGTTCTTAGGACCTGGGCAGACAGGCTTCCTCCCAGCCTGCCAGGACTTTGGGGGTCTAGGAGATACTGGATTGGGACCCCCGTTCCAAAGGGAGTGAAGGAGGCGGAGGCCAAGAAGAAGAAGGGAAGGAAGCCCTGAGCTAGCACTTTCCTGAGTCCTTGGGGTTTCACTAGGACAGGACGTTGAGCGCTGAGGCAGTTTCCTCCTGCCAGAGGAGAGAGGTGCAGGGTGCGCCTGGGAAAGAGGCCCCAGGTGGCCACCTCTAAGGCCAACAGACAGGGGAGGGCTGTGTGCAGCGGGGCAAGCTTCTGGAGAGGGAAAGAGATGCTCAGATGTCAGAGTGGCAGAACAGCAGGAGGACCCGAGGGCCACACGCAGGATTGCCAGGCAGATCCCCAGGCGGACAGACAGACAGGACGCGGCCCCAGGCCTGAAGCCCAACTCACAGATGCGCGATGCCCGCCTTGCGCACCGCGGAGGAGATGGCTTTGATGGCGGTGCAGAGCGAGTTGAGCAGCTGGGTCATCTCGCCCGTGCCGCGAGCCTTCCTGCCCTCCTCCATGACGAAGCGGGTCACGGTGCTGATGTCCGTGTCGAAGGGCGCCCGGTCGGCCATGCTTGCCTCTCGCTGGGCGGCAGGTGCAGGTGACAGGTGCGGGCGGCAGGTGCTGGTGACAGGCACAATCGGCCACACGCAGCAGGAGGACGCGCCGATCCACAGATTGACCTCAACGTGTCCGCAAGGCTCGCGGGTTAGCTGGCCCGGGCCGAGTCCCCTGGGAGCCTTTAGGCGCCGGGTCCCGCCTCGCCCGGCCCCGCCTCGGGAACACCTCCGCGCTGCGCCACCGCCGCCCGCTGCGCTCCGCCCGCGGGAACTTTGCTGCAAGGTCCGGATCCTCCTCCTCGCGGTCTTCCTGCCTCCTTTCCGCTTGCAGCCCCCACGCACCGCACCGCGCCGCGTCACCACCTCGACTTCCCCCACTGTCGCCACCTGCTTTGTGGGGCATTGCTCTGGGCGACATGCACAATCTCCTACAGTCCCACGACAACCCCGCCAAGGAAGAAGGCGTGATTCAGCCCCGCCCCCTAAAATAGAAAACAGAAGTTCAGCAAGGTCACGTCTGATCAGTCAGTCGAGACACCCACACTCCAGCCCACCGTGGCCTGGTTTCAGCACCGTGGCCTGTCCCCTGCTGTGGTCTTCTGCCCACCCTGTCACCTGACTCTTCTGACCTACCTCAGGAGAAGTGCATTCCCCTGTCCCTCACTCGTCTGGCCTCCCAGGTCTTGATCCTTAATCTGAAGCCTCCTCTTGTCAGGACTCCTAGAACTGAAAAGCTGGGGGGTGAGGGGATTTGGTTTCCAGTAGGTGTGTTTTGCAGGGAAAATTGTTGCAGACGCAAAGAAGAGTCTCCTGGGGCCTGGAGGCTCCACCAGCCTCCCCCTGACCCATTTGTGGCCACAACACTGCTGTGTCTCACGCTGATTTATGGAACTATGGTTATTGAGTACCTATTGCATGCCAGACCCCATCCTCCACTCCAGAGACAGAGTCTGAAAACACAAAACTCCTGCCCTCCTTAAGCTTACATTTTAACAGATGATTTAAAGAAATTAATAATAGACCCATTCATTACATAAGCCTCAGTGATATAGAGAAAATGAAATAGAGAGAGAGAGAGAGAGAGTGTGTGTGTGTGTGTGTGTGTGTCCCCATGGAGGCAAGGAGGGGCAGGAAGCAGAGGAGCTCAGGAAAACTTCCCCGAGAAAGTGATGGTTGTGCACAGAACTGAAGATGTGAGCGAGAAACGGGTGGGAAGGAGGAGAGTGGAGAGGTTGGAGCTGTGGCAGCCCAGGCAGGGGAAGCTGAATTAGAGCAGGTACGGAGGGAGGCAGAGGATGTAAGGCCCAGGAGGGGAGGAGAGGGAGGCTCAGGTGTAGAGCCTGGAGGCCCAGCAGGGCTTGACCCTGGCTGGAGAGACCTCTGCAGAGTGTCTAATGGATGTCGCATGATCTGCCCTGAGCTTTCACACTCTGGCTGCTGACTTAGGATGAGCGTGGACAAGGAGGACAGGTTCTTGGGAAGCCACTCAGAGTGGCGAGCCACAGTGACCCGTGGGGGTGATGAGGAGTTGCTGGAGCAGGTCGTTTTTGAAGGTCCACATACAGACAGGATGTGCGAGAGACAGGAGTTTGGAGAGATTCAAGATTTGAGGTTTGAGAAACTGGGAAGATAGGGTTGCCCTCCACTGCAATGGGGAGGATCAGAGAGGAGTCCGCTGCCGGCAGGACTGAGAACAAGGGGCTAATTCAGGACAGGCTGCTGGGCATCCTACTGACACTCAGGAAATGTCCAGGAGATGGTCAGATGTAGGTGTCTGCCGTGGAGAGAAGACCCTGATGGACGCACGGATAAACTGAATCTCACTGAAGAATGGCTTTTTCAGCCTCCAGTGGACGACGTTGCCACAGACGGGTCAGCTGAAAGCCAACAGGTGTGACCTGCAGTGTCCAAGTGCACGTGATTGGGTCAAACAGGGGTGACTGCATGCCACAGGCTACAGACGGGCAGGCAAGATGAGCTCTCAAAGTGATGATGGGGTTCCATTGTGGGGACCTGGGTGGTGACTGGGGTGGTAGGTGGGGGAGCTCTGGATGTGGAAAGGTGGCAGTGCCACCAGGGAAGATGGGGACTATCTCCTTGATGCTGGAAATGGGGTGCGGATGCCACAGCAGAGAGCAGATGCTGTCAGCACTTAGCCTTTGCTCCTGGGGTAACTTTTCAGGAAAAACAATGCAGTGTATTAAAAAGAAAATAAATAAATAAAAGCAAGAGAAGAGAAGAGAGACATATCCTAAATAATAAGGCCTGAGATGTTTTGCCCAATGTTTGGGCCCACCAGTGACTATCAGAGAGTTCCCATCAGAATTTCAGTCCCTCGGAACATTGGATTGGCCAGGACCATAAAAGTCATCTAGTCCAATGTGTCCTTGGTAAGTCCCAACCTTTCCAACACCGGGCCTGATACGAGGTAAAGAGCTCAAGATTCATTGGGCAGACCTGTCTGACTCTCAGCTCCCAGCCTGAGAACTCAGGCCAGATTCCTAATCTCTGTAAGCCCAGTTGATTCATCTACAACATGGGACAAGTGTTCTATCTGGGTGGCCCCATGAGAATCACGTGAGATGGCATTAGCAGGTCCTTAGCTCAGAGCCTTCTTCTCCCTTCCCCTCCTGGGTCTTTTCTCCCTGTCCTCGCCTCTGACTTACTCTCTTTCACTCCACCAGGCTGGGCCGCCACACGCCCTCCCACCTCAGGCCTTTGCACCTGCTCACAGTGGCTGAACCTCACCCAGCAGACATTTGCTCACCTGTAAATCGGGGCTAATGGTTGTAGCCATCTCAGGGTGGCTGGGAGAGTGACACAGATGATGCAGCTGTTTAAGGACAGCGCCCGGCACGACATGGGCTTCATCCTGTGGATGGTGTTAACTTGCTGCCATCGGAACAGAAAGGAGAAACTTCTCTGGCCATCCAAAGGGGCTTCAGGGACATGGGAACCGGGCAGCCTCAGCTGATATTTGCCTGCTGTGCAGTTATGCCCTCTCCATCGTGTTGGCCAACTTTGACTAGCTCTAAATCCTCTGAGGGAACAGCAGTCCCCCACTTCCTCATCTGGTCCCCACAGCCCGGGTCAGCTCTGGTTTCAGTCAGAGACAGGAAGTTGGAAGGAACAGTCTGGAAGGCAGCTCACCACCCCCGCCACCCACCAGAACCCAGAGTACTGCTGCTTACTTTGCCCCCTAGGAGAGCAGTCGGTTTGTGTCTCGGGGGGAAATAAAAGCCAAGGGGTGCTCATGAGAGAGGGACTTTGGCAGCATGGCCTTTCCCCAAGTGAGTCCCCAGCTCCTGCAACCTCGGGGCCTCAAGCAGATAGTAGAAACAGAACCTGTAACCTCCTGAGAAACAGAAACGAAACAGTCACACTGTGCAAGGGACACCAACTTAGCACTTGCTAAGTGCCCCACACTTACCAAGGGCTTCAAAGGCAACAATTAATCAGCCCAGCACCCCGATAGAATGGCTTCTAATCAAACATGTATTTATAGATGAGGAAACTGGGCTTTTCAAGGTCAAACATCCTGTCTGAGGCCTGTGGTCAGCCAGGAAGCAGCAGAACCAAGATTCAAATGCTGCCTTGTCTGAATCCAAACACAGTCCAGCATTGCCATGGACTGCGGGGGCCTGCAGAGGGGCCTGCAGAGGGGCAGGCCCGGCCCTAAGTGCACCTCTGGGGACCACAGGGCTCACCTACTGCAGCTTTGAAACTCTGCCCTCCACGTTTCCCATTAGCTCTAGGCCCTTGCGCAATCATTCTTTCACTCAGCGAATAGGTGTTGGGCACCTGCTTGTTACATGCCAAGACTGGAGTACGCGGCTGGGGTTACCATGGTTACAGGACAAATACATGTCCGTCTTCTTGAGGTTTGTGCTCTTTGTGGGGAAGACAGGAAATAAAATCGCATAATCAACAACGGTACAGAATCATTTTGGGGAGCCAAGGTGCTATGAAGACCATAAAACAGGGTAATGAGATAGAAATGACCTTTGTTCCAACACTGAACAGCACAAAGCATGGAGCAAATGAAGAGATTACAGAAGAACGTATGGAACAAGGAGCAAAGGGTACAGCAGGTGCAAGAGCCCTGAAGGGGCTGGTATATTCAAGGAACAGCAAGAAGGCCGGTGTGGCTGGAAGAAGGGCAGGGGAACAGCCCTAGGAAGTAAAGCCAGATCAAGGACAAGAGGCCTGGCAGGCCCAGCAAGATGCTTCTGTTCTATCCCCAGTGCCGTGAGAAGCCATGGGAGGGTTCAAAGCTGGAGAGTGATGGCTTGATCTAAATGGTATGAGGGTGTATTGTAGAAGGTCAAGAGCAGAAGCCAGCAGACCCAGCAGAACAAGTTTCATGCAGCCCTTGCGTGATCGCCTGTCCAGAGGTGAAGGCTACTGTGATAGTCCTTGAGAATCTATATTTTTTTTAGACCCAGGGGCACTTAACCACTGAGCCACATCCCCAGTCCTTTTTATTTTTTATTTTGAGACAGGGTCTCGCAAGTCGTTTAGGGCCAGGCTAAGTTGCTGAGGCTGGCCTCAAGCTCACAATCCTCCTGTCTCTACCTCTGAATCACTGAAGTTGAGGCCTTCTGCCACAGCACCTGGCGTAAATCTGACTTCTTCACCTCACTTTTCAGTCCCCTCCACTGTCCCTTGTGGCCTGGGTTTGAAGCTCTTCCCCCACTGTGGAGGACACACCACCCACACCATGCTGTTTCTAGGACTCCTCCTCTTTACCCACCTGCTCCCCCCATTGCCCCAATGGTCTATTCTCCTAAGAAATTAGCTTCATTTTCTTGCCTCTGCGGATACTTTCCTAGCCCTGATTATTGCAGCAGCAGTAAGGGACAAAGAGAGGTGTTCCGCCTTTGCGATAAAGACCTCAGATGGTCTTGTGGGAGCTCTGAGGCTGTGATGACATTCCAGAGCTGTCCTGAGCGGGGATGAGGAAGACAGGCTGCTATACCTCCAGGTTAGCCTGCCATCAGCTCCTGGCTGCCCTGGAAAAGGCTGTGACATGGGAGAGGTGGCATTCTTCACAGAGGCAATCCCAGAGAGGGCTGACAACTGAGCGCTGCCCACGGGCAGCAGTCCCAAAAGCTGGGGGAGAAGTTCTCTGTCCTCTTTGAGGAACCGGGTGGCATCTCACACATCCCCTATCATCACAAGGAAGACAGGGCTGTG